ATGCGGTGTGCGGGGTGACGGGCGGTTGCTCTCTTCGCCGTCCGTAACAGATGAATAATCAAAAGTTTAGCATTTGGAGGAACAAAAGCTTATATTGTGGAACATATTCCACTTTGTAATTTTTGTGAAAACAATATAACGTGTTTGTTTTGTTTAATCAGATGAAACAGATAACAGAAGGTGTAGTTATATTCACTTTAGTTATAGCACATTCTGTATTGTTGTTGAATATAATAATTTTCACTGCATTTACAGATTAAAATTATTGATGTGATGTGTCGTTGTATTTTTGCAATGCTCTCAATAAGACTTGAAGAACTAATTTTTAAATTATTTTAAAGTATATTTTTCACCGTTTTGATAGTGTTTAATACAAGCTAAAAAGCAGGAAATTAAATTATTAATTGGAGCTTATATCATTGCTTATTTCTGTCTAGAGCTACCTTGGCTTCATAAATTCTCAAATATTTCATTTATTATTTATTTTGAAACCAATAATCCCAGTTTAATGTTGAAAAATAAACTATTTTTTTTACCACAATCTTGTAACGGTAGTACCATGTTGCCGAACAAATAGGTTGGCTTGACATGAGTAGAAGGAGTCCACTGGTTGGCAAAAATAACCTCTGGTCCTGGGAAGAACCAGCCAGAAACCCTGCGTGACTTTTATTTAAAAAAAAATATTTTGCAGAATACCAGCGTGAAATAGCAGATGTTTTCGTGTGATGAGTAACGCAAAACGAAGAGCATTTTACTGTTTAATGATATTGGCTACTCCCCAGTCTACAAGGGTGACTGCACATCTGTCATCTGTGTTTTATTTTCCGAAAGTGATTGCCGGTGTTACTGGGCTGCAGTACCACTCACCAACAGGACAGGACTTTAGACTCTTTAGGTACTGTAATGTTATATAAAATTAATCTAAACTGTACATCTACAGGTATCGTGCAGTTCACGCAGATTGTGCGTGAAATGGAACGCGCCGACAACGAAGTGGCCCGCCTGCATGCACAGATCCGTGCACACTACTTACCACCAGTCTCCATCAGCTCCACTGTCGACACATCGCTTTAAATTAGTAAGACATGTTCTTCTAAGACTCGAGATTATCACCCCTTCTACTTCTGCCGACAGTCCCACGCTTATCTGCTCAGTGTCGTTAGCAACACTTGCCTTACTGAACATTGACGCGTGCATGACACTATCGCCAAACCTGCGTGCGGGAAAAAAACCTTTTACCGTCTCTCAATTTTTATTTTTTTATCATTCATAAATCATAAATGTGAGTGTTTATGATTTATGAATGATAACGTTTTATGAATTGGGCCTGCCGCCCAGAAGCTACGGACTTTTATTTGGCACGATCCTGACACGACTTCCACCTCCTTTACATCCATCTACCTACGCATACATGCTCGTCGGTTAAGAGTACTTTTAATCTGGTCCACCTTCAATTTATCGCCTATTCGTATAGGGCGTCCCATCCCGACTTCGCCGTTCATTTTGCAACATAAATTTCCTTTGTCATTCTTTCCTCGTTCATTCTTTCTACATGATGTAACCACCGAAACATTCTTTTCTTAATCCTGGTCACAATATCATCTTGCAAACATTACTTCTCTTATCACACAATTTCTCACCCTGTCATTCAAATTCAGTCCAAACATACTCCTTAATAACTGCATTTCTACAGCAATTATTCTACTCTCGGTGCTTTTTCTGCCACACCCAACATTCACTACCGTACATAAATTTATTTTTCTACTTATACCTTATTTCTCCAATCAGATATCAGTTACAAATTAATTTGCAGTGTAATAATATATTCTATGTTATTATGTAAATAAAAAATAGTGCCCGTGTGTATTTGACTAATATATATGACCACCTTTATTTTTAATCACTTCTTTACATAGTTCTTTTTCTTCTTCTTTTAAATTATGGCTTATCTTGATAGAATTCTGCCAGTGTCAAGTCAGTCATGGAAGTTACAAGTTAATAATAGTTAAAATAAGAGTTCTCAATTTAATGAGTGGGTTCACAATCTACAACAAAAGACATCACATATTTAAAATACCATCACCAAAGTTGTTAAGTAAGTATTATTAGTACGAATAAAGTAAGAGTATACACTAGGGTCAGCAAAAATTGGAAATTTACTGAACGAGGGATGTAATTGGGCAGGATATCGTAGAGAGAGTAAGAAAGTTTAGGACACTCAAAGTACAGATGATTGACAGATCCTTCATCTAGCCCACATTCACAGATTGAGCTATCCCTAATCCTGAGTTTGGCCAAATATACAGGAGTACAAGCATGACCAAAGCGTAGACGGCAAACTGTAGAGGTGGTAGCTTTACTAAAGTGGCAATATTGAAAAAATCCAGGGTTACCATCCAGCCGATGTGCCCCAAACCGGTTTCATTAGAAAGGCAATAATGCGGAGATGGTTTTAGACCACTAAAACAATGCATATTTATATAAAAATTACATATATTGAAAAACGTTAACAAAATTTTCTTTTCTTTTCCAAGAAATAAACAAAATGTACTTCTTTTTCTTGAGCGTAGTAGCACACGCCGGGTGTCCGCTAGTATGACATTATACAGACATAAACTCAAGCATTCTGTTAACTTCTTTTGAAATATCTTACAATATGCTGATGATGTAATTCGTGATTATTCTTTTAAGAACTTTATCAACTTGAGTTATCGTCTTAACTCTGCAATGTAATTTCGGCCCATCCTTATCAGTTCTCTGATTACGGCCTATCCCTATCAGCCACAAAGCGTAGTGTAGTTTTTTATTTAATATTCTCTAGTAGTGGCGAGTTATTCTTAAGGCAAAATATGCACGAACCCTGGGTTGTGAGTTTACATAGGAGCGCGCGCGGAGATTACCAAGGAAAAAAATTACGTAAGTACCTACCTACTTACATAAAATGAATTCGGCAAATCCAAATGTGCATGCCTTAGGCGCTCATGTTATACGTCACTTTTTAAAGTATTTTAAATACACAAGTTTTCATTATTTCTAATTTTCCGATAATTTTATGTCAAAGGTCAATAAAAAAAGTTTGGAAAATCCAGAAGTGCACGACTCATATGATCGTAAAAAATGTAGAAAAAATCTCAATCAACAATAGCAAATATTTTTTTTAATTTTACTATTATTAAGATTCAAAAAAAATATTATTGTTAATTGAGAAACGATCAGAAATCAACTTTAATATTACTTTGATTTTTAGGTATTTGTACTCAGACATGACGGCATTGACGGCTCCGTGGCGCTGTAGCTTAGCAATGAGTTACAGCGTTCGATCCTCCCACGGAACAAGTATTTGTATGGCCTACAAGTAATTATTCCGGGTCTGGATGTTTGTCCTTGTGCAATTTATGTACGTAAACAGTGATGTGAAATGAGGAAATCCTAGTGTCGGGGAAACTTACAAAAAAGAGGCATTATCGTAAAAACTAGTTTTTTTTTTACCTGACTCGTTAATAATTTCCTTTTCTCGTCGTCGTGTCTCGTTTTCAAACAGTTTTTCATGTAGTCATATCTAACCAGTACTTTAATTTAGCATTCACTCTGGTTTCTCCATAAAGTCCAAGACGTTTATGTATATTTATATATAAATACTACGTACTTTTAACAAAACAATATATTGTAATGAAAATCTGTGTATTATAAATTAACAATAATATCGTACCTTGCTCAATTATATATCAAAGTTGTTTTTTGGAATATTTTGTATTTCTACAGCTATCCATATTTTCACTAGCCGCTGTAAACAAACGATACGTAACCCACTCACGATGTCGGCCGAGCCCGCAACAAGCCAAAGTAGATCTGTATTTAATAAAATATTTTATTACAAGGCTGCTACTGCTACCCAAAATTTCTCAGCCGAAAAAAAATTACTTAAAACAAAATTAAACAGCCACAGCCACAGGTTTCTCGCGTGATAGATGAAGAGTTTAAAAAATAGATTGAGTTGAACAATTAATATTTTCATAAGTTATCGTGTTTTTAAAAGCCTGTTGTGTATGTTTATTGTTTACATAATTCGTGCGTTGCTTAAGCCACTGAAGCCACTTTTTAAATGTAAAAATAGCAATTAATCGATTTTAAAAAAGTAATAAGTTCAACAATCATTTTTATTCGTATATAATATCCAACAATGTGCCTTTTATATCATTTATATATTCAATATGATTGTTAGATACGATTACATGTGACAAAACGTTGGACTCTTAGTAGCTAGTAGAACCTACGCGCATTGCCCTTAAGGCGTTTAAAAATAGGAATCGCGCGCTTCGGACGCTCTACATCTATAGAGATCTGTATGGACTCGTGTAGTAGTACGAATTATTAGGTCACAGATAACGAACTCGCGAGATTTGAGTCATTCGGTATCAATTAAGTACTTCACTTTCAAGTTGATCTTCGGCTTCACGCATATATTTGCTGCCAGCCGCATATCGTCACTCGCATCTAGTCAGGGGGCGCCCCACACTGCATTTACATAAGCATGATCCCCACTCTATGACACGTCTATTCCAACGGTTATCACTACTGCGAAAAATGTGACCAGCCCATTGCCACTTCAGCTTGCAAATCCGGAATGCTATATCGGTGAGTTTGGTAAGCCAGCGGATATCTTCATTACGAATCCTATCCACACAAAGGAACTCCCAGCATAGCTTTTTCCACCATTTGCTAAAAGGCTTTGAATTTGTGGGGTTCGACACTATGTTTATAACATTATCTATAAATTTGTTTTATTCGTTGCAGGTATAAAATAATCCAGTGATAAAAGAATCTCATGAACTAACTCAAATATGCGACGCATGCTGTTTTATAAATATTGTGTGTGCGCTTGTGTTTTCTTATACATATATTATTTTTTCGGTGTCGGGGACTATATTTATTCGAAAAGCTTTGAAGATGACTTCGATTATCCGTTGAATATCAATATTAAGCCACTCGTCGCTGACGTCATGTCTGGCAAGAAACCTAGTGTTGCCCCCATTAATTACTACCCGCACAGATTCCTAACAAATTCAGGAAAATGTTCCACGTTGGAGAAACTAGATCTGTTTATCGTTGTGAAGTCTGCCATGGGGAATTTCGATCAGAGAACAGCTGTGCGACAAACGTACGGACAGGAGAATCTCGTGCCAGGGAGAATTATCAAAATGCTGTTCTTTCTTGGAGTAGACGCTCCCCCAAAGTCAGACACTCAGAAAAGAATCGACGAGGAAATGGCTCAGTACAAGGATATAATTCAAATAGATTTCCTCGACAATTATTACAATAATACAATAAAAACTGTGATGTCCTTCCGTTGGTTGTACGAGCACTGCCCCATTGCAGACTTTTATCTGTTCACCGATGACGACATGTACATATCCGTCACGAACCTTCTGGACTACGTTCACGACCTTACAGCGAGTGTGCGAGAAAGAAACAAGACTGAGAAAGCGCAAGACGTCAATATATTCTCCGGTTACGTCTTCAAGTCCGCGCCACAGAGGTTCCGCTCGAGTAAATGGCGGGTGTCGCTTGATGAGTACCCGTGGAACAAATGGCCGCCGTACGTTACTGCCGGTGCGTACGTTGTTTCCAATAAGTCGATGAAAATGCTCTACGTGGGCAGTTTGTTCGTGAAACACTTTCGCTTCGACGATGTTTACCTGGGTATTGTAGCCAAGAAGGTCGGGATGGAACTGACTCACTGCCCTAGATTCCATTTCTATAAGAAAAACTACAGTAAAATAGGATATCGCAATGTTATAGCGTCACACGGTTATGGAGATCGCAGCGAACTTATTTCGGTGTGGAATGAGCAAAATAGTGTTGCGTGAAAAGCTGAAAAGTATTTCAATAATTCCGCATACGATATTAGACTGTGATAGGTTTAACCGTAGTTTCTCATTTTTCATTGCTTAAGTCTATTACTGTATAAAAAATAGTATTTAAAAAGGAAGTATCTATTCATACAATAGTCTAACACAAATTTTTTTCTTATAAGAATACATTATGATTTATGTATTTTAATTCGTCCGATATATTTTTAATTTAAAAAAAAATTAATATTACAAAAAAAAACATTTTTTAATAATTTAAGACAGTTGAATAAAATTATATCTTGTAACATATTCTGATACTCGTATGATTAGGCTATTTGCGTCTAATAAAACGTTACACCAATCTTGCAATGTCAGTGACAGTAGATTTAGGTGCGGCTGGGTTGGCCCTTGAGGCCACCTAAAGTCACGTACCTAAATTATAAAATATAATATTGAAGGAATTTAACTTTTTAATTCAAAAATTATTGGACGTCTAAATATTTTTTTACTTATACGATTACCATATGATTAGCAACAGCCAATTAAAAGGGTAGTTCGCTGTCGTAGTGTCAAAGTATTATTCATTTCTAAGTAACCATTATGTAATGTGACAATGAAAATTGCTTTTAAAAAGTACCCAATGGAAATCATTACTACTTTCATTTTATTTTCTTATAATTTTTAGTTTCTTGAAGTTGCTGGAACTTAATCTGCTTATTTCCTCTACTTAACTTCAATATAATTGAAATATCCTCAAAGTGACGCCTGATTTTATTTATTTTAGTATCTGTCTTAACGGCTTTCTTTCTCATTGACAATATTGTATAAATAAAGCTGACATGTTGTTGCCAGTAAGGTAAAAGAACCGCAATAATTAACAAAAGAAAATCAGTTTATTCATCTTCGACAAAAGATTTAAAATAGCAGTTTACAGAGAAACAAACAATCTTTAAGTATGTAAAGTCCATTAAATCATATTGTAAAAGTAATATGATCTTAAATAAATATTGCTATTTCGATTATCGGTTATAAGTAGAGATGAGCCGAACATGGATTTCACCGAATACGAATATTCGGTAAAACTTTTACAACAGTATTCGGCAGAATCACCTCGGTATCTAACCAATTTATGTCGAAACTTGTTACCGTAAAGCGCGCGGGATTAGCGCCGGACCCTGCCCTTCGCTCTCCCGCTACACCTGACATGTTATTGCGTCATCTGGTACTGAGCAAATTGCGATGGCAATTTGTTCAGTAAAAACAAATAAGTTTTGATTATTTTTGTGAGAAATAAAGTATTTCGTTGTGTTATTCTAAGTGAAAATTGTTAATCATATGATAAAAATAGGCGACAGGAGATCTAGTATTTGTACTTATTTTAGAGAAACTGACGACCAAAGTAAAGTGAAATGTACTAATGTAATGTAATATTTCTTTGTTTGATTCCAAAACCATTTTATCAAGCTTTTCATTTGCTATAATTGGAAATAAATCTATAGTGCCTCAAAAACATAACACTATACAAGTAGATTTAACCCATAAATAAAATATGCTTCCAACAGTAAAACTATGAAAGACATAGCATTACTTAATTCGTATATTTCAATACAGTGGACACTTTGAGTATCATTTTAACGAATGTTCTGTAATTTAGCGGCGCCCCGAATATTCGGCCCGCGTCTAGTTATAAGCACGGAATATAAAAAACAAGAGGAAGTAGCAACATGCATAATTTGTACCAGAACCACTGTCACCAAACTCCCACATTCGCAAGAAAGAAATGTGTACCGACAAAAGTTCACCATTTTAATAATTTTCCCGTGATTGGCTATTAAAATATAAAAGTGAAAGGAGTTTTGTTACTCACTATTCGCTTGAGTACGAACCATAAGTTCTTAAAAATACAAATCATACACACTTTTCATCAAGGAAGTTTCTAGAATTAATTAGCAAAGTTGGATACTTAATGCTAGATATCTCAGTAATACCGCGATTATTTGAAAACGCACCATAAATTCTTATTTATAAATATCATTATGCATTAATCCAAGAAGCTGCCAAAAAAATTTACTACGTGACGCTACATGTCTCAATAATAAATTCACGCTATTATAGGCAAAAATTTTATAGAGATAACGGTGACTGCCCTACCTAACCTATATTGCTACGTGAATGACGTTAAGGGCCTATACTAACTCAGCTCAAATTCTAATTATGCCCCCACTTCCCCGCGAGTCGTATGCTATGTACTGACATGTTTGTAATCACTAAGGGCGCCTTCAAATTAGAGGCGTGAGGAAGCGGTGCGGTGGTGCTACCAAAAAGAAGCGCTACAATGGCGCGACTGTGTCGCAGTAGCCGCGCGTCAGTAATGCTTAGGTAAATTGTAGTGATGTTTGTCAGTGTCTGAAAAACTTGCAAATTTCAAAATACATACAAATAAAAACATGGTGGTTTTTTTTTTCAAAGTATTTAGCATCAGATTCTAGCCTTACAAGTTTATACCACTCTTATCAACGAGGACTTTCAACCATTTACGGGATTGTGAATGAAACATGTCAAATAATCTTCAAAATTCTAAATGCTAGTTATATCACGAAACTAAGTCAACATGACTGGTAAGGTGTCGCAAATGCATTCTTTAATAAATCCAACTTTCCTAATTGTTTAGGTGCCACAGATGGTAAACATATACGAATTATCCAACCAGAATACTCCGGGTCTTTGTATTATAATTATAAACATTATTTTTCTACTGTTCTTTTAGCTGTATGTGATTCTAATTATTGTCTCACCTATATAGATGTTGGGTCTTACGGCAAAGCTGCGGATTTACAAATTTTCAAAAATATTGACTTCTATAGAGAACTTCAGGGAATAAGACTTGACATCCCAAATAGCGCATCTATTGATAATAATGGAGGTTCAATATAATTAAAAGCGTGTCACTTCCCTACGCAAAAATGACGTGCGTGTGTCATGGTAGTAGCGCTGCAATTGCGCTTCTAGAAATTGTGTAAAAATTGGTAGTGGCGCGGCTAGCGCACCACAGTGGCGCCACTGCAGTGCTTATTTACGCCTCTAATTTGAAGGCGCCCTAATACTGTAAGTAGATAGGTTGTTAGATACTTATTTCATTACGTTTATCATATTTCTGCCTGTATCTTTACGCCAACCCAGTCGCTTCTTATTTTTATTACGGTTATTCATATAGCCGGCATATACTTAATCATCTTTAAGAGAAATTTGTTAACAGTGACTTATTGAAATGAAAACAATGAGAACAATAAAAAACAATAATTTAGCAATTGTTTACTGTCATTTAAATAACACATTTGTTTAAAAATTGTCAATTTCACATTTTAATAATAATTTTTAAACAATAATGAATTTTAATAGCAATATAGATCATGATATTAAGATCACTTTTATTCCAGATACTTTCCAAAAGTCATGAGTAATACTTAACTGGCTTATCAAACCTAACAAAAATGTTTATTCGTTGCAAATTATAGGGTATCACCTTATAATTTTGTGTATTTTCGTAGATATCCAGTACTTGCACATTTTCATTAATATGTTAGTGGATAAACAGGACTGTGATAAAACTCTATCGAAAACTTTAATATCGGCGTTGTAACAACATATTTAATAACGTTTCTATGCAAAAAAAAAATTGACTGCATTTGGTACGAAACGCCTTCTTTCGAAATATTTTTTTTCGTTTTTATACTGCGTTATTGCGCAAAGCGGCATATTTTCGCATAACTCACTAAGCAGCGATACGGTAGCTCGCGACAATTTGAGCCTACGACTGACAGACGCTCTACTGTCCGTAATTATGACAAGCCTGCCCCGCCCACTTTGGGCTTCCACTTGTTTTTATATTCCGTGTTTCGAAATTTATTAAGTGAAAAACTTGTTTTAAATTTTAATTATTCTATATCACTTTATATAATTTTAACATGCAAGAAATGTAATATTACATCTCTACTTCAAATGAAACGTTAGCAATACGGCTTCACTACCTTTAATATTATATTTGTCTCAAATTGTGTATTCAGTACTATATTGTGTTATTTCCTATCGATTTAGGTATAAATTGATATCAAACGTTTAGACTTAGATCTGTTTTTATATGTTTATACTATCGTAAATCTGTAATATATTAACTTATTTATAAGTTTTGTGTACTTTTGGATTATCCCGTTGACCTCTCAATTTATACTTTTTGAATTTTTTAAATTAAAAAGTACATCATATCATTCTAATGTACGCGGCTTCAGGGTGGTCTCTAAGGGCCACCCCAGCCGCAACTTAACCTACTGTCAAAAAAGGAATTATTTTCGCGACCGTTGAGACGCCGGCTGGATAATCCCAAAGTACCAAGTTTTGTAATGCTCATTTTTCCTTTATTAAAAAGTAAGAAGACTGTCGAAGATCCTGATTATTTATCACAAATTGATTGAAGGTAGATCTTTCTAAAGCATATTTACTCGTTTTTCTCTAAAATTGTTATTGCTTAATAGTATAAATATTAATTACCTTTTATACTTAATTTAATGAAAATACGGTTCTTACGTAAAACGTAAAATAATACCTTGATGTTTTAAAATTAGGTCGATTTTTTCTTTAATACTATTGATCCAAAGATTAGATTAGGTAAAACCATAAAATTTATCCTGCGTCGGTTTTAACCTACAATGCTAGATTAAATTATTTATTAAGTAAAAAAATATATATTTATATTTTGTTACTTAATAAATAATTTTATAACGTTTGGCATGTGATAAAAATATTATTTGTGTAAAACTTTAGAAAGTATAAAGAAATGAATGTAAGTTCTATGTCTTTAAATGTTATGTAATGTAATCTACCTAATTGGTGTCTATCTAATTCAATTTAATAAATAAAACTGATTTTATAAACCACAATATTTTCTTTAGTTTATAAATTTAATAAAAATATTTTATTTATTTGTTAAGGCGATATTACACGGATCAACCAAATTGAAA